TTTACGCAAAAATCACATCTTGGTTATTTTTCGATAACTAACAACAGCAATTTTGATTATGAATTTGTTTTATAAAATTCTAAGCTGTTGAATTACAAAAATATAGATTTTAACAAAAATGTTATGCTTAAAGAATGAAAAATACCTTACGGTACCTTTAAAATTGTATACGTCTTTCGATACCCTTGATAGAGTATTTGCTACTTTTATTTTATGTTTCAAACGCTAAAATGTTTTAAATAAAATAAATTTTTTTCACATCCATATTATTATTGTAACATGTACCTTTTACAATTTTTTAGAGGAGAGGCTTTACTGCTGCTCATTTTAAACTCGTCGTTTTAATTTTATGTATCTGAAAAATAATCACTTTGGGCTTACACGTTTTACTTATTTGGGTTAATTAAAAATAAAATCCTTATTTTATTCCCTTTCAGAAATGTTCAGAGAAAGTTAAGTACTATTTAAAGTATTTCGCTAATTTCTAATAATTCTCTAATTTAAAATGAACCGAATAGAGCATTAATTATAAATTTATTTATATTTTTCGATTTAAAAGATGCCTCAGAAGCCAAAAAAATCATGTCATATTTAAGAAAGTATTTTAGGAAGAAGCTCTATAAATAGAAAAGAAATAATGCATAATTTTAATATTAATAATACAATAAACTTTGATCTTAATTTTTGTACCTTAACCGAATAAAATCGAATTACCTTAATTCTTTTTTTCTAATGTAATTAATGAAAACTTGTGAAAATATTTCATTCAAATTAAACCATTCTGTGAAAACTGTTCTGTGAAAAGTATAGCATTTAATTCCGTTCAGAATGAGATGTTGTTTAAAAATATGTTGTTTTCATATACTTAGAACTCTGAAGTGTCGTAGAAAAAGAAAATATATACATTTATATGCATATTTACGACGTAATTACAAAATATTTACATCCGATCGCGTCAAAACTCGTTGAACTTAATGGTAAATGACCCAATGTTTTGGTCACCACCATGGAGGTAGGAAAGGAAGGAGGGGCCAGTCGGCACTAGAAGTGAAGCACTACTTTGAAGCTTGGGTCACCAGATATAGTGTTCTTTGTTTACATTCAGAAGCTCGCTTGACACGGTTCTGATAGTATTTCGACACACGACAGTTCCATACAAATCGAAAAAGGGACACTTTCGCATGAAAGAAACATTCATAGTGTGATGGATTATGGCAATTTGTATAGTTTAGTGACATTTACGCAAAAATCACATCTTGGTTATTTTTCGATAACTAACAGCAGCGCGATTTTAATTATGAATTTGTTTTATAAAATTCTAAGCTGTTCAACTACAAAAATATAGATTTTAAAAAAAATGTTATGCTTAAAGAATGAAAAAATACCTTACGGTACATTTAAAAGTGTATACGTCTTTCGATACTCTTGATAGAGTATTCGCTACTTTTATTTTATTTTCCAAACGCCAGTGAATGCAATGAAATTTTAAAAATTTGCACTTGCCGAAAACTAAATTTTTTTCACATCCATATATGGGTATTGTTGCATATGCTATTGCAAAAAGCATGTATCTGCCTTTGACAAAAGTACATAAATATTCATTAAATTATTTATAAATGTATTTGAAATGAAGAATTTATTCACTTATAAACAACTGTGAAAGTACTGTGAAGAAATCTAATTATTAAATCTAATTTATAATGATTATAAATGTTATCTAAATATATAATAACCTTAATATTGAATTGTAAACATAAATTGAAATCATGTTGACAAATACGTTATAAAACTATTTAAGCAAGAATTGTTCGTATTGGAAAGCAATCTGTTAAAAGGTAATGTAAAGCAAATGCTATGAGATGCGCACTTAAGAAAGTAATAAAGAGTTTTGGAATATGTACTGTTGAAATGAAGGGTAAAAAAAAATCTGATAAGTATAATTAAAAGAATTATTCCCCTTACATTTTATAATAACTCAGTTACAAGTTTTAAATAATAGTTTAAAAAAAATATTTTATTTCCTTTCAGAAATGTTCAGAGAAAGTCAAGTACTATTTAAAGTATTTCGCTAATTCCTAATAATTCTCTAATTTAAAATGAACCGAATAGAGCATTAATTATAAATTGACTTTTTCGATTTAAAAAGATGCCTCAGAAAGAAGCCAAAAAATCATGTCATATTTAAGAAAGTATTTTAGGAAGAAGCTCTATAAATAGAAAAGAAATAATGCATAATTTTAATATTAATAATACATTAAACTTCGATCTTAATTTTTGCACCTTAACCGAATAAAATCGAATTACCTTAATTCTTTTGTCTAATGTAATTAACGAAAACTTGTGAAAATATTTCATTCAAATTAAACCATTCTGAGAAAACTGTCCTGTGAAAATATAGCATTTAATTCCGTTCAGAATGAAATGTTGTTTAAAAATATGTTGCTTTCATATACTTAGGACTCTGAAGTGTTGTAGAAAAAGAAAATATATACATTTATATGTATATTTACGACGTAATTACAAAATATTTACATCCGAACGCGTCAAATCCCATTGAACTCAATGGTAAATGACCCAATGTTTTGGTCACCACGTAGGGATCGCCGGTGCTTCAGAGCAGGGTACGGGAGAAACTTGTTTAGGGCGACTCCATCTTACTTCCTACTTCCATGGTCACCACGTAGGGATCGCCTGTGCTTCAGAGCAAGGTACGAGAGAAACCTGTTTAGGGCCAATCCATCTTACTTCCTACCTCCATGCAATGCAGTTAGGGGAGGTTCTATCCCTTACTAGGGCTCTTTGGTTTTTGTTCTCCTTCTTAGGCAGACAGTTTTTTGTACCAACACCATTCTGCCTTCTGGTACCAAGCCTTTTTCTATTCGTTCTATATTGAATGCGTCCTTTTTTTTTTCTGCTACATTTTATTCATTATATTCTTTCATTCTACATTGTGCCTCTATAGTATGAATTGCATGTCTCCAAGTTGATTATTTTTCGGAATTACAGACAAAATCAGTCAGACAAAAGTCGCGTAAGTTTTGCATACTAGTGCATTTTCTATAAATATATAAAGTACATGTATATATAATATATGTATAATATATATATATATATATATGTATATATACACATATATATTTATATTTGTGTATATATTTACATATGCTCTTAGAATTTAAATGATAGTGTAAATTAGTTCGCAGCAATAATTAATTTTATTTTTATTTTTTATTTTTGCAATTAAAATTTCTTAATTAAATTTTAAATTTATATTAGCTTTATACGAATAGAGAATATTCGTTAAATTCAAATTTCATTCCTTGCAGCAATGGCGCAAGAAGATTATTTAAATTTAATTTAACTATACTATATTCTTGTGAAATAATGATTGATATTCTTACGAAGTGTAAAAGCGTGGTAAGATAGCTTTCCCCCATAGCAGTTTTAGGGATGCCATAAAATGGCAAAGGTCGACAGAATTACCACATTTGGCAAGAAATCGCCCATTTGGCGACATTTAGAGATAAAATTGGCGATATGCCACGGATGGACGGAGAACCTTCTGGAACGAATTCTTACCGCTCTAGCCCAGAATGTTCTCGAGCACACGCCGAAAGCTATATAAACCCTGCTGGTCCGCAATCAGAGTGTGCACTGTCTAAAGTGCGAGATAGTTAGTCTCGAGTAAGGCAGTCCGTGCGTAGTCGATCGAGTTTACAGCCGGGCAGCTGGTGCCGAGTACCGAGGTTAGTGCATTGTCAAGAGAGTGTGTTAAACTTCGAGAACGACTGAACCGAAGAGTCGGGAGCTGTGCTCTGTGTGTCGTCGAGTGCATCGCGAGTTGTAGCGTGAAGAGTCTCGAGAGTACGTGGAGTTCCGAGAACGACCGAGCAGAGTCGGGAACTGTACTCTGGTGCTTTGCAGTGAAGCTGTCTCCACCGTGATAGCCTGATAACCTGAAGGCTGTGTCGCTGATCATGTCAGCGTGTTTATAGTAGATCTTCGAAGACTGTAAAAGTGTTTTGGAGCTGTCCTGATTGATATTGGTAAATAAGAAGTGCTGTCGTTGTTATTCACTCCAAATCCACACGAACCCCGTAACAATATATATAATGTAATAAACAAATACGTTAATCTTAGTAGCATTACTGGCTCCAAGCAGAAGCGACATCAATAGTCGCTTAGGGAAGCAATTTTCGGAGAGCTTCAGCTAAATTGTTCTCGTATATGACAGCAAAATAAAAGAAGTGTATTTGCTTTTAATTGTTAATATGTTTAATTTATACGAGGCGCAAACGACACTAATCGCCAAAGGTGCCGAAAGTATTTGCAGTAAGCCTGCTAGGAATTTTAAATCTGCCTTCTGTAACTGTGTTTATCATTCTGTTGATGAATTTGAGACATTTATGATTTAACTTTTACAAAAAGTTTTGTATTAATTTCGCTGCTATATGCCTTTTCTTGTCACTTTACTCACTCATATCAGAAGATTATACAAATTTTATAGTATGTGGTAAGATTTAAATGAAGGATGCAGTCCTAACAATAAAATTCTGTTGCGGAGTCTTAACCAGCAGCTCAGTGAAATTCTCTCTGGATGACTGCTCCGCATCGGTGGTTTTGAGGTTCAGTGGTAATCCAAGTTTGCCGAAAGTGTGGTGGTTCAGCAAAACATATCACTCATATCAATAAATCAAATTCAATAATCACCAATCAATAAAATAAAAATTGATTTAATTAAATATGAGAATATCTCAATATCGCACAACTGCGTCACACCTTCCAATGAGCAACTGCATCGAATCTCAGCACGCACTCAATGGCGCTCTCAGCGCCCTCTAGCGTTAGGCGGGTCTTACCATTCTCCCCGCTTAAACTCCCATGGAGTTTACATTTCAATTTCCAGATATTCAAATAAATTTAAAGTCACTAAAATTACACTAAACTAAATATGAAATTGGTAAACTATTAAATATAAAATAAAAGTTTTTCAAGTTCATTCAGTCTTTAAATGGTAGAGGAATAATTTTGTTGATGGCTCGCCGAAGAACACCTGTAGAGGTTTTAACTTCAACTACTCTGACCAGATCATCAGCTCCAGGATGCACTTGCTGGATACGTCCTAGTGGCCAATGCAAAAGATTGGAGTTGGAGTCCTTCAGCAGTACTAGTTGACCAATCTGCATGTTTGGCTGCGAACTGCTCCATTTGGCACGATTCTGTAGTTGATTAAGATACTCGGAATGCCACCTTTTCCAGAATTTGGCTTGGTGTCTCTGAAGTAGTTCCCACGTGGAATGAAAAGAAAGAGAATCCGAAGCAGTATGTGGTTCAGGAAAGGATAACATAGCACTTCCTGTTAAAAAATGTCCCGGAGTTAAAGGCTGTAAGTCACTCGGATCAGAAAAAAGTGGTGATAATGGACGGGAATTCAGAACTGCTTCTATCTGAGTAACTAAAGTAGTTAACTCTTCAAAATTCATGATAGCTGATTTTGCTACCCTTAACAAAATCCGTTTCACTGATTTTATGTTTGCTTCCCACAGTCCGCCAAAGTGAGGAGAAGCTGGTGGGATAAATTTCCATTGGATGCCTTCTTCTGCACTAAATCCTTGAATTGGGTTAGATTTGCAAATATCATTATATGCGTTAAGAATATTTCTCGCACCTTTGAAATTCGTGGCGTTATCGCTCCAGATAACGGCTGGTTTGGATCTTTCTGGCAAAAATCGTCGTAAACAGGCTAGAAAAGCTTCTGTTGTTAACTCAGAAACGACTTCTAAATGCACTGCTTTAGTGCAAAAACAGATAAATAATGCAATATAAGACTTTAAAGTCACCTTTGAATTTTTTCAAATTAGGTTTCGTGATTATAGGTCCTGCGAAATCTAATCCGACCTTCTCGAAAGGTCTAGAAGGCACGACTCTGTCCCTAGGTAGATTACCCATCATCTGGCTTACCATTTGATTCTTCGTTCTAAAGCAAGTCATGCACTTATTTATTACTCTTCTAACTCGATCTTGACCAGACGGTATCCAATATGACTGTCTTATTAAAGATAATGTAGTCTGTACGCCAGAATGTAAGGATTTTCTATGATAATATTCAATAACTAAATTAGTGAAATGATGAGCCTTTGGCAAGAGTATCTGATGTTTCTGAAATTCAGAAAACTCAGAATACTCCAGTCTTCCTCCTACTCTCAGTACCTCATTTTTGTCAAGAAATACGTTCAGAGATGATATTTTACTATTTTTGGAATAGACTGTTCGTTTTTTAAGCACTTTATTTCCCTTTGAAATTCAGTTGACTGTACGAGTTTTACTAAAACTTCAGTAGCATGTCTTAACTCAGAAGCACATATGAAGTCTGTTCTCAACTCTGGGTTTGCTTTACAGTTATTTATAAATCTCAAACATAAAGCAGTTATCCTAATTAATTTACTGAATGAGGAGTATCTTGTGATCAAATCGTTTTCATTTTGGCTATTTTCAACAGTTGCATTTACAACAACTGACTTCTTAAACTCTAACTTATCGACATCTACTTCGCTTTCTTCCATTGATTCTAAGGAGGATGGCCATGCTGTATTATTCATTGTCAACCAACAGAGTCCATGCCACCAGCAGAGCTGATTATTCTTGAGCTCGCTTAAGGATAAACCCCTAGAAATCAAATCGGCGGGATTATTCTTTCCTATACAATGATGCCATTCTTCTGGATTGCTGTATTTTTGTATTTCTTTTATTCTATTCTTCATGAACACCTTATGTCTATTTGGATCACCTTTGATCCAGTAATAAGGTATTAAGGAATCCGTCCAAAAATATCAAGTAACTGGAAAACTTAGTGCAGTTACAATTTTATTGCTCAATCTTGAAGACAAAAGTGCACCCATGAGTTCCAATCTAGGAATCGAAAGGGTTTTTTAAAGGAGCTACCCAGCTTTTTGATGCTGCAAACCTAGAAATGATATTTCCACTCTTTAATTCTATGCGTAAGTACGCAACAGTACCATAAGCTTTCTTAGATGCATCTGAAAAACAGTGTAATTGAATAGTGATTGCATGACTGGGCAAAGAATTTGAAAATAATATCGGGGAATAATTCTTTCCTTTACATCTTGGATCTCATCGCACCATTTATTCCAAGCAATTTCTAACTGTTTGGACAATTTTTCATCCCAGTCTAATTTCTTGTATCAAGTACTTACCTCTAATAGTGCGGTCCTATAAAACCTACTGGATCGAAAAGTCGACCTACTGCTTGTAGTAAGTGTCTTTTTGTGTTAATTCTTTTTGAAAGAAATGTTTCCAGATTTCTGGTATCGAAATAAAATGTGTCAGTTTGTTCATCCCAACCAATTCCTAATACTTTAGAAGCTATCAATTTTGTATCTAAAGACTCTTCACCATGATCTACATTGAAGTTTAAATTATTTGATTCTTTACTTAGCTCAGGAGAATTGGTTCTCTACTTTCGAAAGTCCATGCTTGCCTCTTTTAGAATATCTACACTCTCTTTACAAGTCTTTAGAGCCTGTTGAACAGTGATTTGCCCACAAATAAAATCGTCGACGTACAATGACTCATTAAGATGCTTAGAAGTCAGAGGAAATATATCTACGTACCTTTTCAAGTGATGTTTGATTGTGGTATCAGGTTCAATGTTCCGTCTTACTTTCTTCGGGAACATGCAAGGACCTGACTCTGAACAGAGAGCTTACTAAAGCTATGTTCAATAACTGTGGGAAGTAGACAGGATACACAAGAAGGGTATACAAAACCCTTTATTTTTTCTCTATTTACAATAACTTCCGTACTTCGGAGTACAAAGACCCACTACTTGTGGTCTAAACGTAAAAAAAAATATAAAAATAAAACTAAACTCTAATTTAACTTTAAAATAATAAACGTGGAAGATTGGCCTTATATTAACAGGAAGCCGTATGTAGTACAGAGAACTGTGAACACTACAATACGTTTAAATTATCAAGAGGATTAAAACCTCTGGCCTGGAAGGCAACCAGCAACTGAGTAAAAACTTCTAAGGTAAGCGGCCTGCTTCGACTAACTGCTTCCTCTCTCTCGCTTGGCAAAAAGCCACAACTTAAAGTACTTGGCGTTCGCCAGACAAACTTTGCATAAATACGTTAACGCTTATAATTCTGGCCGGAAGTAGAAAATAAGAAGTGATAGTAAAGATTTAAAATAAAATAAACGTTAGTAAAACTTAAGATCCTTACATACTTCCCGCCAGAGTTAATTAGTTTGAAACTGAGGTCTAAAACGACCTTGTTGAAAACTTTTAGCTCTAGAATCTAACGCGAGGCCAATCTTTTACAAACATTTTTCGCTAGAAAACTAGAAATTTAAAAGAAAGAAATTGTGTTTTTACAATAGCAGCTCCCAGGACACGCAATTTTTTCATCTGTACTGCATCTAAACAGGAGCTTTTATTCAAATCTGGTTCCTTCCAGAGATCTGGAAGGAAAACTAGTTTAATGAAATGTTACACAATGAAATGGCAAGTAACATGTATATTATATTTCTCTTAACATTCTTATTTCATTCATGACGTTATTTAATTCTCTTCCCCGTGCTCTCTGACATGTGTTGTAAAAGAAAACACCAAACACGAATGTGTTATGTACAACGTGTTCAACACTTACCTCCTACAATCAAAACACTAACGTGTTAAAATTCAACATAACAAGACCTCATAAACACACCTTATATTCATCTCTAAACCCTGAGGTACTATTCTGAAAGTGGCTAACTCTGAAGTGTAGCGTCAGAGAGCCTAACTACATTCATTCAACCTTTAACACATATTCACATAATTTTCTCTTTTTACAGTCACACGAATAAAAAATTTTTGGCAATTACTTTCACTTTTAACATATCACGGTATTTCTTAACATTTTTAAAATAACAGTTCACATTGTATATAAGGACATATTAACATGCCGTTAATTTTACGCATTTTAAAACATACATTAGTAGTACATTGTTAACTTCTATTCTTTTCCAAAGCAAGTGCCAATTCTTCTACATTGAAATACTACATTTCAAAAAGTCTTTCAGACTAAAACTTCTTTCTTGCCAGAATCTTTTAAATAAAATTTTATACAATAACTTTTACAATATTCAAGTATTTACACATTCGCTATTATACATCAACTTTAGTTTTACACGCGCGAGTAATTGAAAAACATAATACCAAAATCGGTAACAACTCATTTCTCGCCCTTTTGGCGATAAAGGTAGACCTCGCATGAGGTAAAACTTCTTGAAATCTGCCACTTGCAGTAAGAATGAAAGATTAACTTAAGTTTGCAAAGTAACATAAAATTTTACTTATCTTTGTGATATTCGGACATCCTTTTCTGGGCCCAGTCCTGGAAAGGTAGCGTAGATGTGTTTGATTTATCCTCCTTCTTGTGCGGGCTCGCCCTTCAGTGCCTTCCTCTAGAAGCTTTCTTTTTTTTCACCAGTTCGGTCACCCTTGAATACCTTCTTTTTCGCCTCTGCCTGTGGTCTTGGCCGTTTGATGGCAGCTGGTCTTGGCGGAACCGGGAAACTTCTTTCGTGTTCCTGCTTGGACCTCGTTGCTGGCCGTTCAAATTTTCCTTGTAACTTTTCCTCCGCCGCTGGTGGCCCTTCCGCAGTTCGGCGACATTTGCTGCGGAGAGTCCTGTCGGATGAGTAGATCTTCCGTTTTAGAGCCGGGTTATAGTTGCCGTCATTTCTCCTGGCTCTCTTTGCACATACGTCGTCCTTCTCCCTTCTTCATTCTGGGGGTGTTCGTGAACTCTCTTTTCTGGTGGACGGTGGAACGGCTTCTTTTTCTTGTTACCTTCAATTTTCCCCGCGGGGAAACTTTCTTTTCACTTGCTCCTGCCTCTTAATGGCTTGCCCTTGTACTTGTCGTTGTTCCACCTCTGGAGCTTGTGCCTGCGGTGTCTGCCGTGCCGGATCCTGCAAAAGATCTTTGAAAATATTTGCATTTTATTACGATCATAGTAGGGTTTGATTTGATCAATGTTTGCGGAGCAGGTTTCACCATTTCTGGCTTTTAACACCACTACAGCGTGAGTTATTTTTTCTATGACATATGGTCCTTCAAATCGTGGAAAAAATTTGGCAGTTTTATCTTCTGGTGCTGAAGAAAGTGAATGAATGCTTAATTTTTAATACTTCATCCCCTACTTTATAAGTTACTCCCCGTCGTTTCAAGTCATAATATAGCTTTTGTTTTCTCTGTGCTACTTCAGTATTCTTTTTTGCTTCTTTAATTAGTTTTTCTATATCACCCATTTTAAATTCTGGGGCTCTTTGTTGCACATAAAATAATTTATCTAACGGCGTTATAATCTTTCTGCCTAAAAATAACTCAGCAGGAGTTTTGCCCGTTGTATCATGTTTTGCGGTCCTAAGGGCGAAAGCAAATTCATTGACATAGTTATCCCAGCTTTTATGAAAATTTTTAACATAACTACGGATAATTTTCACTATATTTCTATTGACCCGTTCCGCTATATTTGATTGCGGCCGATACGGGACCATTTTTAAATGACGTATGCCCAGTTTTTGGCACATGTCTTCAAATATATTACTTACAAATTGAGGACCATTATCCGATATAACTTTTAGGGGCGCCCCGTATTTTAAAATATATTTATTTAAAATAGAATCAGTAACTAATTTCGCGGAGGCTCGTTTTAAGGGAACAATTTCGGTCCACTTACTAAAATGATCAACCATAACAAGGAGATAGCGACTTTTATTTAACTGACTTTTTGGGAAAGGGCCCAATAAATCGATGCCAATTATTTCATTTGGAAATTCGGATTTAATACTATTTAGAAACCCGGCCGGGGCGGAAATTAATATAATTAACTGCTTGACATGTTGGGCAGGACTGGACATACGCCCTTGTTAACTTTTGCAGTTCAGGAAAATAGACTGCCTCGCGTACGCGTTGGATAGTTTTTCGAATACCAGCATGAGAAGCTAAAGGGCTGTCATGGAGCTCCTGCAGGATATTTAATCTAAGACTAGCTGGGATAACAGGGTCGAAATTCGTTGTTGGAATTCGTAGTTTTTGTATAAAATAATAGACCATCTATTAGTTCGTAATGGGGCCGCCCTATTTCTTATCGCCACAATATCTTGGTGGCTAAAATTTTCAGGATCCTTTAAATACTCATAAATGCTTCCAAACTCAGGATCCTTACCCAGTTCGGTTATTACAGTTTCTCGGGAATTTATTGTACATGCTGTGAGCATTGCCACCTTTACGGTATTACCTTCTTCATCTATTTTAATTTCTGGATAGGGCATCTGCTACGATATTTTCCTTTCCGGGGGTATGCTTGATTACCAGATTATATTCTTGTAGCTTGAGTGCCCATCTTATTAACCTTGGGGATAAGTTTTTCCCTGAGTACAATCTAGTTACCGCCGCATGATCAGAGTACACTGTTATTGGCGCCTTTCCAAAATAGACTCGGAACTTTTGCACTGCTAACAGAACTGCAAGTGCCTCTCTCTCGGTCGCGGAATAGTTTCTTTGTGTTTGATTTAAAGTTCGGCT